CCCCTGGCTGTCCCAGCTGTTTTGACCAGGGTGGGGCCCCGGGTGGCTTGAGGGGTCAACAGCAGTGGCCGAGGGCCCAGTTGAGCCTGGCTGTGGATCTGCAGACACACCATCCCAGGTAGCTGGGGGATGCTCCTGCGGAGCTCAGCAGGAAGAGGCAGAGGGCTTGTCGTGCCGTTGAGCCTTTGGGGCAAGGCCAGCGCCGAAACCATTACTGAGTGGTCAAAATGTCAAGAACCTGAATTAGGAGGAAGGGAGCAAGAGGTCTGGAGCAGAAGGAGGTTATGGTAGGGATCTGGGGCCTGGGGGTCTGGGGGTCTTAGAGTCTGTGGTCTCAGTGATGGAGCCGTTGGAGGCCATGAGGGAGTGGTCGTGTGAGTGGGAGGCTGAAGGGAAATGGACAAGACCAGCACCGTCCGGGAGGTCCAGGGGGTGAGAGCAGTTCGGACATGGACAAGGAGGTCCCTAGGATGATGCTTGAGCCTGCTATGGAGAAGAGGACCTGGAGGTGGTTGTCAGAGTCCTGTGTGAGCAAAGCGGGTACCACAGGCTGTGTGGCAGGGATCTTAGGTGAGGAGAAGAGGGAGGGAGGTAGAACAGCAGGAGTCGGAAAGGTGGGGGGCATTTGGAGGATGATGGAAGGAGGGCCATGAAGGGCGGGTTCGGACGTGGGGGAAGGAGGTGGTGGCCCAGGCTCCTCACTCCTCATGGGGAAGAATGAGTGGTTTTCCCAGACCCTGCAGGATGAGGGCTGCATGTCCCAGGTGTGTGTTAGGGGAGCCCCATCTCCATTACATCGAGGTGGAGAATCTGGAAGGGTGTGTTTCTGGTGCACCGGGCTTCTAGAGGACACAGCCAGCCCTCTGGAAGGGAGGGAAAGGGGAAAAGCAGAGCTGTGCTCTTTGGAACGACCCCCATCCCATCTCTCCCCTTCAAACTGAGCCTTCATAAGAGCTGTCAGGCAGCCCCAAATCTGCCTCTCACGCACCTCATAAACTCTAGGGGTCGCCCACTGCCCTCAAGGTAAAGTCCCTGCTCTTCAGCCTGGTACACAAGGCCCTTCTGGAAAGATCTCATCTCCTGCCCTCCTCCCACCTCTCTCATCCTAAATCTCCACACAGCAGACCGCTTTGGTCTCCAAGGGCACCATAATGCATGGGACCTCTGGGCCCTTGCGCTTGCCGTCCCCTCTGTCTGGGACGCCTTTTTCATCTCATGTGCCTAGAAAATGCCAACAATCCTTTCAAACATCTCCTCCTTGGAGAAGCTTCTCTGACTCCCTGAGTCACGATCACTCCTTCCTTTGTGCTGTCACTCTACCTCATCTTCCTTGTCTTATAAATCTGTCTCTCCCACTAGACCTGGAGCTCCTTAGTAGGACAGACAGCATGACGTTCATTTCTCTGTCCTCCGTTCCCAGCCTGGTACCGGGGATACAATCACACTCAGTTAATGTTTAATGAAGGAAAGGACAAATGCGTAGTTAAGCATGTACTAAATACTTACTATCATTCCCAGCATTGTGTTAAGCTCTTTGAATGCATCACCGTGTGTTATCCCCATAAGAAGGCCGGTGTATGTATTATTCCTACACCCATTTTACAGATGAAGGAACTGAGCCTCAGGTAGGTAAAGTGACTTGCCCAAGGGCATTGAGCTAGTTGGTGGTAGAAATGGGCTTTGAGCTCAGGGCTAATTCCAGTGTCCATGCAATTAGCCATTACCCTATATTGCCTCTATGAAACAGAGAATAACAAGATCTCAGAGAATAACAGGATCAACAAGACTAAGGGTGCAGGGGACTCTGTGATAAATTGACAACAAAGGTCAGCTTTTTTTTTTTTTTTTTTGAATAACAGTGATGATCACAAACATTGTTGGTTGCCTGCCCCAAAGCCCATTTTCCCTTCTTCGGTGTAACAGAGTTCTGCTTTAATCTGTGACTACTCCTCCCTGTGTAATCCTGACGGATGTACGCTAATCCTAGCAGTAGCATCCTTCTTGTCTGTAATGGGTTCGTTGGTGGGCGTGTGATCCAGTTAACTTAAAAAAATTTTTTTAATTGTGATAAATATACATTACACAGGATTTATCATTTTAATCATTTTTTTTAAAAGATTTTATTTATTTATTTGACAGGGAGAGAGCGAGAGAGAGGGAACACAAGCAGGGGGAGTGGGAGAGGGAGAAGCAGGCTTCGCGCTGAGCAGGGAGCCTGATGTGGGGCTTGATCCCAGGACCCTGGGACCATGACCTGAGCCGAAGGCAGACACCCAACAACCGAGCCACCCAGGCATCCCTAAAGATGTTTGTAAAATATATTTTTGACCTGAGCCGAAGGCAGACGTTTAATGACTGAGCCACTCAGGCGCCCCTCATTTTAACCGAAAGAGACTGCTGGACTTGTTGCTAGACTTAGTTGGTGAAGATGTGGAGCCTGGAGCTGCTGCAGCCATCTTGTGATCAGAAGGGCGGTAGCTGATGCACTGAGGATGGCAGAATGAGAATAGGAAAGAATCTGATTCTTGATGTGGTTGCTGAGCTGCTGGATCATTCCTACCTCTGCCCTTCTTGATACATGAGATAATAAACCACCCTGCTGTCTAAGCTATTTTGAGCTGGTCTTCTATTACTTGTAGCTGAGAGTATACTGGTGAAGGGACAACCCAAGTGGGCAAATAATTCTCACCTGGTAAAGGATGACATAAACTATAAAGAATTTTGCTAATCTCCAGGAGCTACTGCCCAGGTCTGGATCCACTGACCTTTGGTCTTCTAATAAGAATGGTGATCTTGGTTTGGGTGAGGAACGATAATGACCTGAGACGTCATCTGAGTAAGCGGTCAGGATCTACAAAAGGTACAATCCTAGCCATCTGGAGGTTCAGTTCAGCAAACATCAGTTAGGCATGTCCGTGGTGCTGGGATCCTAAGGATGAATCAGACAGTTTTTGCCCATAAGGGGCTCACAGTGCAGTGGGAGAGACCATCACAGGCCAGTGATGAGTGATGGACAGGTCCACACAAGGTCCAGAGCCTGATGTGCAAGGTGGCCGGGTGAAACTTCATGTAGGCATTTTGAAAGATGATAAGAGAAGGGTCAGAGAAAAAGACATTTCTTGGCAGAATGAACAACATATGCAAACTCAGGGCAACACGGCACTCTCAAGGAAATTACAAGTCATTTAGCATAATGGGAACCGGGCTGGCCACTTACAGGTCATATGTCTCTGAGCAAATTGCTTGATGTTTCTGAGGTTCAGAATTCACATATATAAGAAAAAGAGAAAAGGAAAAAAGGAAGACAGTAAAGTGGTTGTGAAATTAGGCAACAGAATATATAAGCAAAGCCCAGGGCTTGGCATATAGTAGGTGCACAAGAAATGCCCTTTATTATTGTCACATGGTTCTAATTCATTATCTTCCCTGACCCAGGTGGCTTTCTTCCCTTACTCATTCCTGAGCCTAGTAGTGAGGCCCCCCAACTCCCGCAGACTTTTCCTCAGGCAGGAAACCCGAGCCCACGGTCTGGCCTAAGACATCTTCTAGGGCTGGGTGGTTTGTGTGATTCCTTCTTTTCTCTCTCTCTCTTTTTCCCCCTAAATGCAACAAAATAAAACCAAACAAAAAAGCCCAACGCCTGGCGTGGCTTGTCAGGGAGTTATGCAAGTGTGTAAAAAAATAAAATAAAATAAACATTGAGTTTTCAGCATTTGGGGCTTGTTTGATTAGGCGCGGAGCAGAGCCAAGGGCCGGTGAGACATAGGGAAAGCTCAGGGCAGAGGAGAGAGGGTTGTCGCTTGAGAGGGAGTTGGGGGTGGGGGCAGGAGCAACTTGGAAGTGGCTGTTATCCTCCCGCACACTTGGCAATGCTGTGGCTGAATGAACCCAGACACTGGGCATTAGGGAGAGCTCTACATTCTCTGGCCACCCACCATCCCTGTTCCCTGGTCATCAGGACACCCCAGGGGTCATTCCATCTACTCCCCTGTCACTGTAAAACACCCTGCACCCTTGTCTCAGGGGGACTCAAGAGTTAGGGCTCCCACCTCCCTGAGATTCCACAGCCTGTCTTGATTACTCACCACCCCCATCCGCCTCCCCCCATCAGTATAGCTTTTCTGCTCTAACTTAACTCCTGCTAACTACAGTTTTAGCCCATTTTCCTTTACCCAATCTGAGATGAAGCTAAAGAACAGCTGTTGGCCGCCCCAAGAAGTGTCTCCCTCCCTTCCACAGGCTTGACTTCAACACCATCTGGGTCACCGCAGGTGTCTGCAGCTCTTCAAGACTCATTCCACACGCATTCGTAGAGCCCCTGCCATTTACTAGGCTGTTGGATCTTTCATTTCCCTGAACCCTCAAAACAGATGAGGCTCAGAGAGGCTAAGTAACTGAGGTATGGCCACACAGCTGGTAAGTGATGGAGCAGGGATTTGAATCTAGGGTTTATTTAAAAATTTCCCTCACTTGTCTGCAGCAGCTCACCCGGATTCCCAGGATCTTACAGCCTCACATTTCCTTTGAACTGGGAAGATGCTCTGAAGACTTGACCCTGAGAGGAGGAGGGCGTGGCCAGGACCACAGGCCCTGGTGAGCCTGTTCCTTGTCACTTTCTGGATTCTTGATAGGGAAACTGAGGTTTCTCGAGGCTCTCAGACCCTGTTCTGACCCCCAAGATGCCTGGAGCTGCGGCTGCGTGGAATCCCCAGGGTGCAGGGCGTGGGGAGGGGAAGAGGCAACGGCAGAGGGTCTGCGCCGGGGTCCAGAGGACTTGTGCAGTTGCGGGTCCCGCGCTCCAAGCGCAGCGCCCCAGCTGCGGGCAAGGGCTTGCGGGAGGGGGCTAGGGACTCCCGGGCCTGGCACTCCAGTCCGTTTTTTGCTGCGGATCCCGGCAAGGGGGGCCGGCTCGGGGGGTGGGACTGCAGAGGGGGGGATTCCCTCCCTCGTGCGAGCGGAGGACTGGCCCCTCTCCGGGCTGGGAGCTCGGGCAGAGCGGAGGCGCGACGGAGAGCCCCAGCACGGGGCGGAGAGCGGGGAGCGGACCGCCGGAGTGGGGCATTGCGGAGAGTGAGGGCCGGACCGAGCCGCCCCAAAGGACCGATGCGCCGGGTGGGGCGCTGGCCCCGGAGGGCGTGAGCCGCCCGCAGATTGAGCAACTTAGGAACGCGCGGGCGGAGCGCGGGCGAGCCGGGCGCCCAGGACAGTCCTGCGGCAGGCGGGTGAGCCGGCCGCGCCCTCGCCCCTCCCGGGCCTGCCCCCGCCGCGGCTGGCAGCGCGGAGGTGAGTGCCCCCTGACCTGCTCCGTCCACCTCCCTAGCGCCCCCTTTCCCGGGACCTGGGGTGCCGGGGCCCTCCCGTCGGGGCTCGGCTGAGCTGAGTGCCGTTGGGCGGGGGGCAAGGGGGCGACAGCGAGGGGAAGGGGACTTCTGGCTGCTGTCCGGTCAGAGGGTGGGAGAGGGCACCTCCTGCAGCCTCTCCTGCTACCCTTGCCGCCTCCACCCCCGTCATCCCTCAAGCCAATGGGCAGCCCCCTCCCGGTTGCTGCCTCGGGTTCCCCTCCACCCCGCAGCCCCCTGTGATCGTCCTCACTCTGAATCTGATCTCATCCGACTCTGAATCTGAAACTGATCGAAACCGATCGTTCTGGATTCCCCAAGCCACTCAGTCCTATTCGCCCCCCCTCCCCAGTCCAGAAGCTCTCGATCCCTGGTGCCATCGCCTCGAATTCCCCTGAGTCCCATGGCCCCTGGTTCTTCCCATCTCAGTCCCGCAGCCCCGGTCCGGGTCCGACGTGGCAGGCTGCGAGCACGACCGCCCCCAGGGTGCTGCGAGGTGGCGCGACTCACTGGCCCTCAGGTCGGGCGCTGAGGGACGGATGGTACTGCTTGGTTGGGGAGAGGTGGGGGGCTGTGTTCGCCCTGGGCTCAGAGGAGGGCAAAGACGGATTCTGGGTGCGGGTGGTTGGGGGCAGGGGCTTTCTTGTGAAACTGGCCTCTTGGATTTGGAGAATTCTCTTGGATTTGGGGGGACAGTGAGAGGGACTTCAGGCCCGCCTCCCCTCCCCCTGCACCTGCTGGGCCTCTCCGGGACAGTGGGGAGGGAAGAAGAATTTGCGCGCATGGGGCAGAGATGGAGGGACGTGAAGGAGCCTTTCCTGGCTGCCCTCGGTGTTGGAGGGGTGGGGGGCGGCCCCAGCACCTGGCTTGGCTCTGGCGGACACGCTAATCCCGACAGGTCGGGCAGGCACGCACTTGGTCCCGCCCCCAGCCCAGCAATACTTCTGCCCCCGCCCGCCAGCCCGCTCCGCGGCCGAAACTCCCCACCCGCAGCCGGGCCCGGGGGGGGGGGGGGGTGATGAGAAATTATCGGGATGGTTTACATTTTTGGGTCTGTATCCGGCCCTGGACGGAGTACCAATTTATCCTGATAGTGTTACAGGCAAGAAGGTGAAAGTTACTGCAACCTTGTGGGGGTTAGCGAGTCCCCACCCTCAGCTCCACCCCCAGCTGTGTTCCCCTCGGCAGCCTGTGTCCTCCCCTCCCCAGACCACCTAGCCTGTGCACGGCCTCCCGCCCCAGCTCTGCCTCTGCCGCCAGTTCCTTCCCCACCTCCGTGGTCAGCTCCCTGTCCCCTGCCCCGCCCTCCAGACACCCAGTCCTGAGCAACAAACCCCACTCGCTGGTCACTGGACTAGGTTTGTCACCCCAAGACTCTTAACCTCTCAGTGCCAATAAAATAGGAATATTTTACCTCCTTCTTAGAGTTATGCTGAGTAAATGAGGGCCTGCCTAACACATGGCAGGTGGTGCAGGCACCTCATGAATGTAAGCCCTTCACCCTGAACCTGGCAGAGACAAAATGATGCCTGAGACCGTGATTACTACCAGCAGTTCCCACTGCTGGCTCTGTCTGTCCAGGGTAGTCTGTGTGTGTGCCCACCGCGCTTGTATGGGGGGTGGGGTGGGGCAGGGACTAGCTGCGGGGAGATGGATGCAGGGACCTGTGATCTTCTGGGGCTTGGTACTGCAGCGTCCTTAGTCTGAGACCTGTCCAGCTTTTAAAATCGGATTTCACATCAAATTGTGAATTTTCAACTTCTCTTTAAAAAAAGAAAATCAGAAGGTCTGACAATATTAAATCATTATTTCTGCCTATCGACAGTGCACTGGAGTTGAATAGCACATGCTCCCTTTAGATGGGACATTTGCCCTCCAGTGCACCCCCTCCACAGCTAGCTAGCTGCCCTCCTATTTGTTGCTTATACTCCTGGCATAAGGAACACTTAGCTCCTTTTCAGGGTTGATTCTATATGTATATACTTTTTAAAGTGCTGGAATCTCTTCCCATCCAGTGGTAGGTGAACGAGGCCAGTGTTGGTGATATTCCGATCTGGATCCTCCTGTCCATTTGTCAGCTGAGATCACGGTTCCATAGTGATTCACGTGGGAGTGGGCCAGAAGATCTTCATGGGCAAGGACCGGATAAGCATGGCAAAAGGAAGGCTGAATGCTAAGACGGAGGAGGATTGAGGGGGATAGAGGTGAAGTAGAGGGAGGGCGAGGAAGGGAGCTGACAATTTGTTGAGCACCCAGCCTGGTGTGCCAGGCACCGAGCCGGGCAGGCACAGGAGAGGCAAAGATCTTTTCTGCCCCTAGGATCCCATTGATACTGATCACACCGTGAGACCAAATTCTCAGAGGCCCCGGATTTAACACCAGGTTTGTCTGATGCGGCCTTCTCCTCCAGTGTTTGTCCAGTGTCAGGACTTATGGCGTCCTGAGAGTGTATTTGCCAGGAGTCCTCAGACCTCAGTTTCACAAATGCCTCGATTAAATGTTAACCCTGCGATAGTGAGTGATCACACTGGGGTAAATGCAAATATGGAAATTGCATAACAGTGCTCAGTATTAAGATCCGTATTCAGATGATACCAAAGCAAAGCAAAACACCTGTGTTGCTTTTTAGATGACCATTGGCATGTAGACACAGAATTGTGTCTTCTTGGTCATAGAAAATACAATTATTAGTGAGTCCTCCCGATGTGCCAGGTGCCATTCTAAGCAGTTTCATGTATTAGCTCATTTAAAGTATAAAAAACCACCACCCGCCCGCAGATAAGGAAACCGAGGCTTGGACCAGCTAAGCAACTAGCCTGCGGTAACAGCTAATACATAGCATTGCCCACATTGAAAGCCAAGCACTCTGCTTCCTCCCTTAACCATCATGCTCTACAGCCAGCCTCTGGCTAAAGACCCCAGTTTGATAAACTCAGCTGGAAGACCAACCCACCACAATTTGCAGGTGAGGGAAGTGTGTGGTGGGCACTGGGGAGGAGGAAGGCTCCCGCAGCTCCCGCAGGGAGTACTGGAAGGGCGTGCAGAGGCTGGTGTTTGGGGGTGGCTGGGGGCGTCCCCGCCCCGGCTCAGCTCTGGCTGCAGAGCCAGGTGGGACCCGTCAGCCTCGTGTAAACACTTCTCACAGGGGCAGCTTAACCACTTGAGTGTGACTGGCCTTCAAAGCTGGTGGGAGAGGCCGAGGAGGGAAGTGCTGAACTCCCTTGAGGGATAATGATTTATCTCCCATGCAGGTGGGCTCCCTGGGGCCTCCCCCAGAGGCCAAGGGGAAAGGGGTTGGGACAGGGTGGGAGGGGCACTGCCACTCCAGCATTTCAGATTTCTCATTACTAAGCCAAAACGCAGCCAACTCTGAGAGCAAGCCTGTGAAACCGGCATCTTTATCCCCATTTTATAGATGAAGAATCTGACGTTCCGAGAGGCTGAGTGACTTGTCCAGAGGCATCTAGCTAGTGGGTGGGATGGCGATGCTTCCCTGGCATCTTCAAAGCTTCCTGAAGGCTGGCTGGTTCCTCCTGTCCCTGGGCGAGCGTGGGTGGGTCTGCAGCCAAGTGTGCGGGGCCACGCTTTCGAGCAGGCCTCGGCTGGGAGAATGTGCGGGAGTGTGTGATCCCGAGTGTGCAGTGCGGTGTTCGGGGCCCAGACTCCCAGGTCGGGCTCCAGACACATTGCACTGGGGAGGGACCGGCTCCCCCTGCCCCCATCACCCGGCCATCGGGTCCAGAGACCTGGCTCTCGCTGGGCCGGGGGATTATCCCCATTCTCTGTGTCTCTGGCCAGGGCGGGCATCACTGCCTCTTTTATCCTCGCACAAAGGCCAGGCCCGCAGGGCCTGCTGTGTCAGAGTTTCTGTGGCCGGGGGAAGCCTTACTTCCTTTTCTCCCGCCAAGCCCAGAGGGCCACGCAGAGTCTGCCAGCTTGTCGGGGGCCACTGCTCTAGTTTCACAGGTGAAAGGCACAGGGGTGACTCAGCACAGGGAAGAGAGGGCTGAGGGGTCACTCACAGAAGGGCAGAGAGAGCTCCTCTTCAAGACACAGGCTATTACTGCAGCATGAGGTCTGGAGGGTAGATCTAAAGAAGCACTTCCAATTAGAGCTGGCCAATATTGGGCAGGGGTGGGGCCAGCTGGTTTCCAGGGATCCACAGATTGGATGTGAGTGTCTACCATATTCCAGCTGTGTGGGTAGCCGGCTCTAGTCCCAGGTTAGGGGATTCTGCAAAATTCCTAGGAAAAGGAGCAGATTTCTTCTACAGGGGGGCCAGGTGGGTAACTTGTCATATTCAACCATGCTGAGTTCCTCACAGTCTTCAGGGCATGGGACCACATGGGAGGGTAGGAGGCATAAGTTGGGGGAACCCCATGGTTCCCCAGAATTAACCTTTCTTTCTTCTCCCCCAACAGGTTGGTTTTTGGAGGTGTCCCTGCTGAAGTGACAAAGAGTTCTCCCATGTGACACACCCTGAGGTGCCTTTGGGGAAAGCTCTCTGGACCTCCCAATGGGCTGATGAAGAAGTGGGCTCCCCACACCCTCTCTGTCCCCAACTAAGATTATGGTGGATTTGGGATACGGCCCAGGCCTGGGCCTCGTGCTGCTGACCCAGCCCCGCAGGCATTAGCCAGAGCCCTGTGTTGTCCACCCCCCCAGAGACCACCCCTCCTACCAGGGGCCTGGAGCTGGCAAGTGACTATGCGGCTTGGGCTGTGTGTGGTGGCCCTGGTTCTGAGCTGGATGCATCTCGCTGCCGGCAGCCGGGGGATCAAGGGGAAGAGGCAGAGGCGGAGTGAGTAATGGAGCGGGGCTGGACCACCCCTGGCCTTGGGAGCGGGAGGGGGCCGCCTGGGGACTAGAGGGTCATCGGTGGTTTCATCTGTGATGACCATTGCAGATTCTACTTTGTCTATTACAACTGCGTAGATTACTCAATAGATGATCCTGTTTGTGGATTATCCGGTGTGTGGATTAATTGGTTGAGATTACCCACTCTGTAGATTACCCACTTTGTCTATTTTCCCCTTTGTAGACTCTGCTTTCTAGATTAACCCCTCTCTTGTGAGGATCCAGTGTGTGGATTATGCCCTTTGACATAACACCAGCTTTGTGTGGTATCCATGGAGATGTGTCCCTCTGCTGCTGTGGCCCCAGCCCCAGGGTGTTTGGCCCCCTCCTCACGGATAGGAGTTCACGGCTCTTTTCTTTGGGTCTTGGCTGAAGTGCAGCCCCCGGTAACCCCTTGGGGCCAGGAACCCTACTCAGCTTGGGCAATAGCTTTCCCTGCCAAGATCACGGGGGCAGAGACAGCAGAGTAGGGAGGCTCGTGAGACTGTCCACTCCTGTGGTTTTTAACTGCGCGGTAGGATTCAGGGAGCTGTGCTGGGGGCAGAAGGGGAGGCAGTGGGAAGGAGTCTGGCCCCACTGCCCATCCAACCAGAGTGCCTCACTCTTTCCTGTTTTCAGCAAGATTTCATGTGAGATGTCACTGGAAGGAGGGGTTCTCACAGTTTAAAAAAAAAAAAAAATTCTCTTATCGTACAGATAGGCCTAAGGACACCCTGTCGATACTGGAACCCAATTCCCGTGAGTCCCGACTTCCTAAAAACGAGCTTGATGGAGCTCACGATTAACCTGTCCCCACAGAATCCCATCCCAGGCAGCCCTGAGAGCCCTGGGGCCTCAGCCAGGCTCCTGTGATGGGGATGGGGGATCTGTACCTGCCCAGTACGGATGGGAGTGGCCACTCCGGGGCTAGGGAGTGGGAGGGGGCCTCTGGTACAGATCCCAAGGCCTCTCTCCCTTTCAGCGTCCCCCGTCAGGGATGTCACGCTCCTCTGACGTGCAGCACGAGCACCTCTTGCTTCACTCTGAGGCCTTCAGACTGAGGCCCACCCGGAAAGGTCAAAAGGCAGCGGAGTTTTGTTGGGTCTTGACCGACAGGGCCAAGGCCAGAACCCAGCCCAGGGAGAGAAGCTCAGAGAATTGGTGAAGCTGAAAATCCCTGGCTTAACACACAATTAGAGACGGTTAGGTTTAATCAGCAGCGAGGCCTTGATTTTCCTCCCTGCTCATCTGTTGCGGCCGGTATTTTGGACTCCCTGGGCCCGATGCAGTTTAGTGGTCTGTAAGCAGTCTCCTCTGTTTCCGAGAGGAGAGAGAGAGAGAGCACACGAGTGAACGAGAGGGGCCACTTATGCTCGTGCTACGCACACTAGTGGTCACACTTCCACTCACAGGCAGAGCCACACACCCCCCTCCCTAAGCCAGGGGTCGAAGATCGGGGTTCCAGTCTGTTGTACTGAAAACAGCAACAACAGAGGACTGGCCTGAGCATCGGAAAGACCCGGTCCCCTCAACAGCCAGGCGACGGCAGCAGTTTGACGGGTCCACTTAGGAGGCAGCCCCCGGTCACAGCCCCGGCAGTGGGAACCCTGTTCTTATTACCAAGTGGTGTGAGTGACAAACGTCCCTGATAGTGACATGTGAGGGTGGGGAAAGACTCGGGGTGCAGTGAGGACCCAGAGAGGGATGAGGGTAGATGTTGCTGGATGATGCTTGTTGAATAGAAACCATAAAGCTGCCAGGGTCATTGTAAAGGGATATATTAAAGCCTATGGGAGATTTTATTTCTGTGTATAAATTGGTTGGGAACCCTTTATAAAATATCAAGCTCTGTCTAGACTTCGGGATGCATGTCGTTGTTATATGAACCATGTGGCCCCAGGGTTTCCAGGGAGTGGGGAGGGAAGAAGGAGGCCCATGATGCGGTGTGTGGCTCCTCAGACCTTGCAGCCACGGGGTGGGGGGCGGGGGGCAGTGGGGAGCCAGCGTGCGGAGGTAGGCTGGCTGTGCAGATGAGCGTCAGGTCTGTCCACTCTGTCTGCCATCTGGAACTGCAAGTCGGTAGGACTGTCAGAAGACACCAGATAGAACTCTGATCACGAGGCATACACCAGTTTTGAGTCCAGAAATGGCTGATCTCAGGCCTGGGTGATGGTCTCCCTGCGCGGAGGGGGTGAAATTGAGCAAAGCGCTCTTTAGCTGTGAGTTAGGAACCCTGGCGGAACGACTTCCTCCTCTCCCATTCACTGAGGACCCATCCCCTCCCCGAGCCCCCTCTTCACTCACTCAGCCTCTTGTTCTCCTCGCTGGCCCTCACCTGCTCTCCTGAATGTTTTCCTGCCTGGGATTTCCTGCTCCTCAGGGTGCCCACCTTTATTCACTACTCCTTGCATTGAGTACTCCTTCCCCTTACTGAGACCCTTCTCCTATGTGATTCCTGGGCCCCTTACTCAAGTCCTGCCCCCATGAAGCCCTCATTCCTTCACTGAAGCCCGACTCCCCCATCTGACCCCATCCAGACTTTGTGGGGAAGTGAGATCAGGGTAGACTTCCTGGAGGAGGTGACATTAGTTCTGAGGAGTTCGTCAGGCTCAGGAGGTGGCAGAGAATGTTCCGGGCAGAAGGACCAACTTGAGCAAAGGCACAGAGGTGTGCAATAGCGTGATGTGTCCAGACAAACAAAAATAGTTCTATATAGCTGAGGGGTAGTGTTGAGAGATGAGGCGGATAGGATCAGCTCATGGAAGCTTTTTAGGCCAGGTGGAGAAGTTAATAAGACCAGTTGGGTCTCAATTCTGCTGGTGATAGGGAGGCATGGATGGACTCTAGGCAGGGGTGTTTTGGTTTTAGGAACATCAATTTGCAAGCGTTTTACACAAGAATGGATGAAGGAGCCTAAGAAGCCCCAGGGGAATGGAGGGGAGCACAGCCTTGCCTTCCTGGTCTGGCGAAGTGGGCTACATTGAGGACTTGGGGGAAGGGGAGCAGAGCTGTGTGAGCGGGTTTTGTGAAGAGGTTGGGAAGCAGGCTCCAGGACCTCTCCGAGGGCCCTCCACTTCACCCAGCCCACCCAGCCTCCACAGAGAGGTTACAGCCCTACAAGGCTGCCTCCCCTGCGCACCTCCCTCCATCATAGGCATAGGAACCTTGCATGTGGTGAATCTGGCCATGCCCTTCTGAGGTCCCCTTCCCTGCCAGTAGCATAAAGCCCTATTTTCCATTCTGTGAATGCACTAGGATGTTCAGTGCCTCAGAGCCTTTGCACAGGCTGTTCCTCCTGTGTGGCAAACCCTCTTCACCTAGCTGGCTGGGTAAGGGAGTGCCTTCCATTACTCATCCACTTACATGGTGTGAGCCAGTCCTGCTTGCCGCATCCCTGGGTGGGCCTTTGTTTATACCTCAGCTCTAGCTCTAGGTCCCCAGCTCCTAGCACTTCTGGGAAAGTGTTAGGTGTGCAGTAAATGTCTATGGAATGAATGAGCATCAGTTTTTCCCTTTGAATCATTATGCACCCCCCAATGCCCACCATCTTCTTTGGTCTCCATTTCCCACACACAGAGCTCCCTCCCTGTGGCTGTCTAGCACCGCACTGCCCATGCATCTGTATCACTAAGCTGAGAACACCCTTGGGTTCCTATCCTTCTTGACCAGCATCCCTTTCCTCATTGAACTGACCCCTGCCCATCACTGAACCCCTCTTCTCCTTGATAAGCTCTCCTTCCTCTTCCTGAGCCCCCAAACTTCATAGAACTCAATTCCCTTTGTCCCTTTCTCAAGCCCCAAGGCCAGTCTTACCACCTGAGCTCTGCACTGCGACTCTCCTGTATCCTTGGGTCTTCACTCCATCAGTTCACCCAGCCTCGGAGTCTCAGAGGCTCATGATCACAGCCCCTGCTCCCAGCTGCTCTCCCCTCTCTGTTCCTATGTTCTCCGATGCTCTCTGGCCCTCTCCTCCCTTTACCTCCACCTCCACCCCTCCCACTCACTTCCCATCCCCCACTCCACCAGAACTGCTCCTCTTGGGGTCAGCCAGTCGGTCACCTCCCCGTGCCAGCCGTGGTCTCCCCCCAGCTGTCCCTGCACATCTCCCCCTTTGCAACTTGGTTCCTGTGCCCACTCTCCCTCAGCGACCCCCCCCCCCAGGATTCCTTCTCAGATTCTCTCCGAGCCCCTCCTCCTTGCTGACCTGTTGAGTGGGTGTTGACCCACTGCTCAGCCTCTGCCTCAGGATGACTCCCACTCACATGATTTAACCACTGATGACCATGGTTTCCACAGATGGATCCCTGGGTTCTCTCCCCTGCTCCATAGCTGATTTCTTGAATGAGATGGCTCTCCTTCCTCTACTCCTCAACCACTGCCCTCTGCCCCCATCAGGGGTGCTATTGCTGCCTCCTTGCCTGACACCTCAGCAGCACTGGCATGGCGACCCCTCTCTGCCCTGCCCAGTGCTCTCTGCTCTTGGCTTTCATATTCACTGTGCTTTTGAGTGGCCTTTCTTTTTTCTGCCCTTCCCTTAAATTCCTGGTTCCTTTGCTCACTCTCTCGACCCACTGTCCTTTCTGTCTCATGGACCCCCGTGCCTTTATGACTGTTTTCATGTTAAGGACTCCCCATTGCAGTCTCCAGTCAAAATGTTTCTCTTGAGTTCCAGACCCACAGGTTCAACTGCCTAATAGACACCTTCCCCTAGATGTCCCACAGGAGCCACAACCTCAACACATCTAAAACCTGACTACTCATCATTCCTCCACCCAAACCTGCTCCTCCTCCTGTGGTCCCCTTTCGGTGAAGGGCCAAGGGCCACCCTGTCACACAAGCCCAACACCTTGGAGTCACCCTCAGCTTGCTCATTCCCCAGCCTTCAGTCCCAGGTCCAGCCTACCACCTGGTTTTATTGATTCTCCCACCTGAGTATCTCACCTGTGTAAACTCCTCTGCAACTTCTCAGTTCAGCCCTGTCTCTTCGAGCTTGAGGCGTCTTCTTGCCTTCAGACTTGCCATCCCTGCAACCCATTCTCCATATCACAGAGTGATCCTGACCATGTCTCTGATTTTAAAGCCCCCAGTAATTCTTCACTGCCTTCACAATGTCCAAACTCCTTTGTACAGAGTCAAGACCCTTCCTCATCTTGGTCTGCCTCCCTCTCCAGCTTCATGTTTAACCACTCCCTCCATGCTCCCCCCCCCCATGTTGGTTTCAGACCCCTAGTGCTCCGCGCTTTCTCTTGCTTTGTCACTGAGAGATCTGAAGAGAAATGCACACAGAGATGAGTTGTTGGTTGAATGGGAGGTGGGCAGCAGGATTCTGAGAAGGCCTTTTGCAAATCTGTCCTTAATAAAAGTGACAAGGATGGAATCCATAAGCATGGGAACATAGCTATCTGGCTGGCAAATGGGATGCCGGGATCAGTTCAGTTATTGAAACCAAGGCAAGAATAGAGGGAACATTCATTTCTTTTTTTTTTTTTTAAGTTTTTTAAAACATTTTTATTTATTTGACAGAGAGAGAGATAGCGAGAGCAGGAACACAAGCAGGCGGAGTGGGAGAAGGAGAAGCAGGCTTCCCGCCAAGCAGGGAGCCCGATGTGGGGCTCGATCCCAGGACCCTGGGATCATGACCTGAGCCAAAGGCAGACACTTAATGACTGAGCCACCCAGGTGCCCCACTTCTAAAAAAAAAAAAAAAGATTTTTAAAATTTTTATTTGGGAACATTCATTTGAACAATGAATTCAGTAAAAACCTTGAATAATAGAGGATATAGTAGCTTTGAAGTAGAAGCAGTACCTAAAATCTACAGTAACTTATTAATTTGTAATACAGCCAAATAAGGGCCCAAAGTGGAAAATTAAACCCAAGAGCTCCCTCATAACGTCAAATGCAACATTTGGGTATTTTTGTTCTTAGAAGAACTAAACCAAGAACAACATTAATTTTTGAATGTATTGATTAATTAACATTGGCTCTATACAAATCAATTCTATATTTTAAAAAAAAATCAGTCTACCTGTACTTCTGGCCTCCACATCACCTCGTGTGGTCCTGCCCTTGGCCTTCCTAAACTTTGTTCCCTCTGCCTGGCATACATGCTGGCTGCAATGCCTCGTTCAAGTCATTTAACTTCTCCATGTCCTCCTCTGTAAAAACAAGGTTTACAAACTAACAATCGCGTCTGCTTCGTGGATTGTAAGGATTAAGTAAGTGAATGCGTGAGGAGCCCTGAGAACAGAGTAAGCGCACCACATTTAGGAGTTAGCAGCCACTACTATGGTCCTGGTGGTCGTTATATGGCTGTTTGTTCCTGACCCTTCCCCTTCTGCTCACCTTCTTAACTCTTGCTCATTCCTGTTCTGAAATCAGGGATCACTCCTGCAGCAGGTGCTTCTCCCAGGGCCCTCCAGAGAGGACATCCTCACGTCCGTTTCCAGTGGTGGGAAAGGAGGCACACGAGACACTGTGTTTTGCCCCGGGGCACAGGTCCAGCCTGAGCCCGGGGTCCGCTATGCTGCGTGATCTCCTGCTATCTGTTCTGATCCCCCCTGGCGCTCTGCTCCCAGCCTGCATCTCCAGCTCCTCGCTTCATGCTTGCTCCTAAGTGGCTCATAAACCTCTCTTTGTGTTACCTTCTCCACTTGCTTCTCTTCCCGTGGGATGGACCTTGTTTAGTGACCGGCCCCACTGTTCCACCACCTACCCTAGCACTCACCCCAGGCTCCTCCCTCCTGTTGGTCTCCTTTGCCAGTTTCTCTTAAATCTTCTTCTGTCCATCTCCAACTGAGCAGAATTTTGTTTAAGATGTTTCATCTTTCTCACCTGGATGATCTGGTCAGCTTCCTTCCAAATGGTCCTTCAGTCTCTGGGCTCCATCCAAGCTGCCAGAGGAACCTTCCAACGTGTAAATGAGCCCAGCTCCCACACCTTGGCCGATAGCTTTCAACTATCTAAAAAGTATTCATAAAATAAATAAATAAATAAAAATAGCCAGTAGTCAGACCGTTCCCAAGAAAAACGCTGCAAAACAAGGGTTCTTTGGCCAAAATATTTGGGAAATAAAACTTCCTCTGTCCCCCTTTTAGGGAGTCAGTTTGCACAGGAGTGTAATAAGGGTTGAAGAAGCCCTGCGGTGAAGAATCCTATTTAGACCTGTCGGACCCAGTGGTTCTGTCTTCCCTGATGTAGTGGCCTTTCCTCCACAGCCTCTGATGAACATCTAGGGGAAAGTGTGTTCCAAGAAGGCTCTTTGGGAAATGCTGCCTGGCAGGATCAAGTTCAGGTTCCTTAGCATGATTGCCTTTCACCATTCCCTTCCCCACCCCTGCTGCACCCCAAATCACCTGCAGTTCCCTTTGGGTTCTTTTCTACCTCTGTGGGCCTGCTCCTAGAAGGACCCTCATCTCTCCTTTGTGATGGACAAATCTCTACTAATTCTTCAAGAGTTGGCCCAAAGGGCACCTTCTTCGTGACTCCTTCCCCTCTCTTCTTTTTGGGTTCGCTATTGCTAGGCCTTGCGGCTGTCAGCATTTGCCTGCTTGCAGGTCTGTCACCGCTGAAAGATCAGTCTGGAGTGGTCAGGCGAGCCTCCCTCCATGTCCCTAGCACTCACCTGGCACAGGGTACCTGGGAGGGGCGCGGGGAGTATTGGTTAAACAAGTGGCGTCAAAGGGTTGAGACCCCGTGCTGGGGCTGGAGATCACACTGCCTCAAAGGATGGCCAGTGTTTCCCAACCTCAGCACCATTGACATTTTGAGCCAGACAACTTGCTGTGGCCCCACCCCCACCCCATGCATTGTAGGATGTTTAGCAGCATCCCCGGCCTGTCTCCCCTAGATGCCAGCAACAACCCCCTCCCCAGTGTGACAATCAGATATGTCTCTAGACTTTGCCAAATACCCCCTGGGGAGCAAAATCGTCTCTGGTTGAGACCACTGTTCCAGACCTAAGCTATTCCAGTTGTTTTCCTGTCTCTGAGCAGAAGATCTTTTTCTCAGTTTAACCCGTTGTCCTTCTTGACCTTAAAACTTTCTCATGGATAAAAAATCCCCTCCTTCCACACCAGAGGCTGAGCTTTTCTTCCTCTGGGGAGGGACAGGGTAGGTTCCAGGAAAAGTGCAGCTTCAGTAGCTCCTTGGGAAATGGCAGAGGCAGCCTGGAGAGTGAGCCCGTGTTGTGCCTGGAGCTGGGGAGACATTGGCGGGGGGGGCTCTTGCTTCGGGCATCTGTGCCAGTTCTCCTGGGAGATGATGCTGGGGGGTTTGTCAAGCAGCTTTTCGAGGAGCTGTCATCCTGGCCTGTACTTTCTGAACAGCACATTTGTTGTGTATGAAGAAACTCCAGTCTCCTCACTTCCCGCCCTTGTGGGAGCCTGGGAAAGAGGGAGGTTTCTCCTACAGCCGCCTTCTTACCCCTGTTCTACCCTTGCAGTCAGTGCGGAGGGGAGCCAGGCCTGTGCCAAAGGTTGTGAGCTCTGCTCTGAGGTCAACGGCTGCCTCAAGTGCTCGCCCAAGCTGTTCATCCTGCTGGAGAGGAACGACATTCGCCAGGTGGGCGTCTGCTTGCCTTCCTGCCCACCTGGATACTTCGATGCCCGCAACCCCGACATGAACAAGTGCATCAGTGAGTGTGGGGAAGGCTGGAGAAGGCTCTGGACACTGGGGGAGGGTGCTTTGAATTGTTGGGGGCAGGGAAGAGGAGTAGAGGGGACACAGAGGAGGGGAGATGAGGCTCCTGATTCAAGTATCCAGCTGCCAGCCCCACATCTCAGAGAGTCCATCCACCTTTCCAGCTCCACGAGTCCATATCAGAACCATATCTCCCTCCTCTAAACCTGCACTCCGGCGGTGTCCTGGGCCACTCATGTCATCGACCTGAGAGCCAGCCTGTCATTCATGTCCTCTCCCATCCATCTAATGACCAAACCATGCCTGCTGCCTTTCCTTTCCATCCTCATGGCTATAGTCTCTCCTGGACCATCCCAGTAGCCTGCTTCTCTGTCCTCCAGCACTCATCCGGTTCCCTTGAGCCCTCCCTCCATGCTGCAGCCAGAAAGATGCTTCTGAAACATGTATCCTGTCCCATCACACTTCTGCTTGAAAACCAGCCCGGCTCCACGGACTGCAGGGAAATCCGAGCCCCTGTCAGCCTGTCCACTCCCCGCCCCCACTCCTGTGCCCAGGTCTTCTTGCTGGCTGGGCTTGGCTCTCCCACAGCAGCTGCAGTTCCACGTGCTCTAAGGCACGTGCTGTCCCACCTCTGTTCAGGCTCGCTGTGACCTACTGGGGGACAGGCAGGGAACCTACTCCGGTAAACAATGCCGGTGCCCCTCCCGTTTGCTCAGAGCCTTGGAGATTAGAACGCATTTCCAGATCACATATCAGCTGAGTCTCACAACAGCCTTTGGAGGGAGATGGGACCTAAGTGACAGGAGCGCTTTTGGGGGGCTGACAACAGTGAGGCTGGTGGGGGAAATGGCTGACCCAGATCGGCCTTGGGTTCTAATCTCTACTCTGCTTCTTTGTTGTTGGATAACTTCAGGTGTGTTGCAGCCTCTCAAAACCTCATCTCTAAGATGAGAGTGCTAGTTTTCACCCCCTAGGGCTGTCGCCAGGGGCATATGGAAAGCCCTTAGTGTCTGGCGCACCACACAGTAGTGGCTGTCCTTACCGTATGTCACCTGCAACCAGACCCAGGGCCCTGAGCAAGAGAGGAGGGAGGGGGCGAGACGAAGAAGCCACAGAGCGCAGGAGGCACAGAGGAGGGGTCTGGTGCGGTAGGGTGGGAAGCTTTTGAGGATGGAAGGGGGACCCTGGGGCTGCCCTCTTGGTCCTCAGGGTATTTGGGGTAGGAATTCCTGGCTGTGTCAGCTCCTGTGAAACTGGCAGCCCAAGCCTCAGGTGCCAGAGACTGGGAGGAAGTCAGCCCTGCCCATGGTCTGGGAAGGGAGAGGTTGTGAAAGACTCTGCCTGCTCCCAGCTGGGGCCCTGGGACCCTCCCTCCCCCAACTTCCCCAGAGGAGGGAGAGATGGCCGGAGGGGATCAGAGAGGGACCCAGGAGTCCAACCAAGGTCATTCCTGGAACTGGGCCTTGCAGAGGGAGAAGAATTTGCCCTGGGATCTCTCCTCCCCGTTCCAAGCAGATTTTTTTCTCAGGGCAGGAGGGGAACCAGGGTTTGGGGTGTTGTGGACACCCAGCAATGGGGAGAGGAAACCACACAGCCATGAGCGGGGGTCATTGCATCCCTCAGTTCAACTCTGATTAGGTGGCCCTCTGGGGTGCCATGACATGCCGGGACCCTTCTCTCTCCCTGCCCACAAACCCCAGAAAATCCCGCCCTCCTCCTCTGAAACCAGCTTGCTTGGGCCTCACCTTGGTTCCAGGGCCTGGGATTGGGTTTGGGGTGGTGTTAGCTGACCGGCCCCGCCAGCCCCGAAGAGTGGCCACTTTGGCTTCCTCTGCCCACCCTGTCCTTGCCTTCCCTCCCTCCCAGGACTCTCCCGTGGTCATGGCAGGTCCAGGCCAGGGTCCTGCCCTTGGGGGGAGGTGCCCTCAGGTGGGGGACTTTGGGAACAGGGGATGAGCCAGAGGCCCCCAATCTGGCCCTCTCCTCAGAGTGCAAGATTGAGCACTGTGAGGCCTGCTTCAGCCACAACTTCTGCACCAAGTGTAAGGAGAACTTGTACCTGCACAAGGGCCGCTGCTATCCGGCCTGTCCCGAGGGCTCAGCGGCCGCCAACGGCACCATGGAGTGCAGCAGTCCTGGTGAGTTTGTGGGGGGGCTGGGGGGTGGAGGCAGGGGAGAGACAGGGAGAGCCTGCTTACCTCCCACCCGCACCCCCTCCCCCGACCACCCTGTGGGGTTCGTCCCAGGGCTTTTCTGCCCTCTGGACTGAAGATGCCTCCAGCCTCAGGCTCAGGCAGAGAGAGGGTGGGAAGGGCTCCCCTGGGGCATTCTGGGGTACCCAGGGGTGACCCCCTCCTCCCCTTCTTTCTCCCCCTCTTCCCTCCCTTCCTGCCAGCACAATGTGAAATGAGCGAGTGGTCCTTGTGGGGGCAATGCTCCAAGAAGAAGAGGCTCTGTGGCTTCCGGAGGGGCTCTGAGGAGCGGACTCGAAGGGTGCTCCATGCCCCAGGTGGGGACCACGCCGTCTGCTCCGACACCAAGGAGACCCGCAGGTGCACAGTGCGGAGGACGCCCTGTCCCGAGGGTGAGCTGCGGCCTCTGCCTCCCCGGGGCTGGGAGTCAGGGACAGCCATGGAGGTCTGACCACTTCTGCCTGGGGAAAGGGCCGCAGGCCAGGGCCAGATGGGAATCCCCAACTCAAGATGCCATGCTGGGGGAACCAGTGCTGGGTGCTGGCAGAGAGCAGTCCCCAGAACTATGTGGTGGGAGGTGGAAGCTTTAGTGTCTGTGTCTTCCAATTGCCCCATTTCCTCTGAACCAGCAGAGGTTGGCATTGGAAGGACCCTCAGAGGTCAGATGGGGCTGCAGAGGGGGATGCTAAGACCCAGGGAGGTGTAGTGATATGACCAAGGCCACACAGCCTGTAGCTGGCAATGATGCGGCAGCTACCCCCAGAGGCAGTGGAGTGGGGCAGAGGAGCTGGGGGCTGTCCTGCTTGTCCTGAGTGCTGTGCCAAACATCGTAGCCCATTGGGGTCCAAGATCTGAAGAAACACAAGGAAGAGGAGGGTGTCTGGTTCATCGAGGGATGGGGGGCGAAAGGCTCCTGGGACCCCCGTCTCCATACCCATGTTGCAGGGTCCCCTGAAGTGGCCGGTAGTCAGAAGAGGCTTTGAGGGGGATCCCCACTGCCAAAAGGCAGTGACTTCAACCACCCCCCCCTGCCCAGCTTCCTCCCCACTCCCCTCCTAGAGCCCTGGGCCATGCCTGGGGCCTCCTTACTTGCTGCAGGACATCCTTTGTTGACTCTTCCTGCTGTTGGGATTGCAGGACAGAAGAGGAGGAAAGGGGGCCGGGGGGAGAACGCCAACAGGAACCTGAGCAGGAAGGAGAGCAAGGAGGTGGGTGCCGGCGCTCGGAGACGCAAGGGCCAGCAACAGCCGCAGCACCAAGGGACAGTGGGGCCGGTCACGCCTGCGGGGCCCACCTAGGGACATCCGTCACCTCCAGGCCCTCACAGAAAGAGTCCAGCGCTGCTCTGTGTGATGGAAGCTTTACCGAACTGGAGCGCTGGGGGCAAAGTGTGCACACACTCTCCATACATATATGGACACACAGACACACACACAGGGCTCATGTCCAAACATGCAACCAACATACATGCGCGCGCACACACACACACACACACACGATCAAGGCCACTGGAAGACACTTCTCTCTCGGACATCACCGCATGAACAGGGTGGGGAGGTGGAGGGGTCACCTTTGCCTGGCAGAGGGCCCAGTGGAACAGACTTGGTTTGAGATGCTCCTAAGGGATATGTCAGAGGGACCATTTCCCAGCGTCCAAGCCCAAACAGAGTGGGGCCTTCTGGAGGAGCCGATAGGATCTGCCCAGTGTGGCAGACAGGCACCAAAGCTTGAGGACTGTTCAGCATTTCCAGCTGTGTGACTTTATCATTGGAGAGTATTGTTTCACACCCATGATCCGTATCAGGGCTGCCCCGACTCTGAAAACTGCTTACAGGTTTATTTCAAATTAAAAACAAAACCAAATGACAACGGTAGCCACGGGCATCACATTCCTTCACAGGGTGCAGGAATTCATGGGGTATGTGGGAGCAAGACGGGACAGGGCTGAATTTTGAGAGACCCCCCCCCAATGGCCTCCTGGACAGAGGGGCCAGGGCAGGAAAAAAACTTTGAGGATACTCTGAGGGTGATACCCAGCTTCTCTACAGCCTTGTTACTCAGAGTGTGGTCTGTGGACCAGCATCCATGTTCTCACCGGGCAGCTTGTTAGAAGGGAGAGTCTCAGGTCCCATCCCAGACCTGACGAACCAGAGTCTGCATTATAACGAGGTCCCGGGTGACGGGCATGTACATTCAAGTTTAAGAAGCTCTGCTCCGATCACCTCTACGGATAGAACAAACGTCCTGGCCAGCTTGCCACAAGAGGGATTCTGGTCCACTATAAAGGAAGACTTCCCAACTGGGAGCGGTAGAATCTGAGTCCTAGAACACTATAGTGGCACCCTAGGGGGAGGGGGTGCTCAGGCTCTCTGGGACGGTTGGGGACCGTTGGATCCAAAGGCAGGACAGCGGACAGCATGACCTCCTGTGGCATCTGAAGTGTCCACTGGCAACCATATGCGTGCCAGGCCCTGGACTGAGGGGTTTCTTGGGGGAGCCAGGCATGGGCCTTGCTCTCCTGGAATAAGAAGTTGATAGGGGTGACAGGCATGAACCAAGGGATCATTCCAATAAATGTGTAATTACAAATGGGTGGGGTTAAGGCCAGGCAACCACCGGCACATACACAGAGCTATGAAAGTGAATAAAAGTGAATAAAAATAAGACTTTATCTCAGGGAAGCTTTTCAGAGGAGGTGGTATTTGAGCCAAGCTCTGAAGGATGAGTAGGAGTTAAGACAAAGAGAAGGAATGGTATTCTAGACCAGTGCTGTCTGCTAGAAATACCAGACAAGCCACTTATGTAATTTAAAATTTTTCTAGTAGCCACATTTAACGAGTAAAAAGCAACAGGTGAAGTTAATTTTAATTATAGCTTTTATTACACCAAATATATGCTAAAATGCTATCTTTCTAACGTAATCAATATAAAAATTATTAACAACATCTTTTACATTCTTTTTTTTTCTTCAAACTAAGTCTTCAACAATTCTCTGTATTTTTACACCTCACAGCATACCTTAATTTGGACACTATAAATTTTCACCAGAAATACTTGACTTGTATTTAGATTTCATAAAAATTGAAAAGTAGACTCACATCCTGAATTCCTGCTTCAGGAATAGTTAACAGTTTTCCAAAGATTGAATTGACTATGTTTTAAATTTTTAATTTAATAATTAAAATTAGGTAATATTAACGATTCAGTTCTTCGGTTGTACCAGTTGTGTTTCAAGTGCTCGCTAGCTACACGTGGCTAGTGGCTACTGTGTTGGACAGCAGAGTTCTGTATAGACGGCATTGCACATGCAAATGTCCTGTGGCAGAAAGGAGCATGGTGTTCAAGGAACTGAAAGAAGGCCCAATATAGCTGGAAGGCCTGGAGGGCAAGTGAGATGAGATGATTCTAGAAAGGTCTCCTGTGGTTGGGTCTTTATTCTCAGAGCCAGAGGAAGCTGCTAAAGGGTTCTAAGCAGCCAGCCAAGATGACCAGATTTGTATTTGGCAAAGATCCTGGTGGCTGTAATGTACAAGACAGACTGGAGGGAAGCTGCATCGGGGGCTATTGCTGTCATACAGGTGAGAGGTGTCGGAGACACGGACTAGGGTGGAAATGGAGAGAAGTGGATAAAGTGACAAGGCATTTGGAGAATAAAGTTGGCAGAGTTTGGTGATAAACTGGATGTGGAAGAGGGAAGAAAGGGAGAGGAGGTGTCAAGGACAAAGTCCCCATTTCTGGCTCGAACACCCCCAGGGTGATGGTTCAGTGTTCTGAGATGGGGAACCGGTCAGGAAGGCCAGATTGGGAGGACAAGGTTTTGATCACGTTAAGTGCGAGGTGTCTTTGAAACATCCTGGTGACCACGGCGAGTAGATGGTGTGTAGACACAAATGCAGGTCTAGTGTGCGCAGGACATGTCGGAGCTGGAGCATGAACTGGTGTAGAGAAGGTAATTGAGGGTTTGGAAGAGGTCGCATAAAAAGAGAGCTGGGGACTCAGCTGTGCGGGCTTCCAGGTACAAAGATCAGATAATGGGGATCAGCTGGCCGAGAAGGCAGAGAAGGAGCAGAGGAGAGGGAGCCAGGGAGTCCGCAAGCCGTAGAGAGGTCACAAGGACCTAAGGTGCTCAGGGACCAAGTAAACGAGAACTGGAAATGGACCGTTGGACTTATAACACGTGTGCCGATAGTAACCTCAGCAGGAGCCATTCAGAGCGGGCATGGGGGCAGAAATCAGTACAGAAAATTCCTTCGGGAAGTTGAGCAGAGAAAAGGGAAAAAGCCTGACAGGGGCTGGAAAGAGAGATGGAGGTAGAGAGAGTCCTTTTTTTCTTTTCTTTTCTTTTTTTTTAAGGTGGGAAAGACTTGAAAATATTTAAAACCCACTGGGAAGTGTCCAGTTCAGAGAAAGAGGTTGATCCACAGGAGAACAAAGGGGAAACCAGTGGTGGAAGGCTCCCAGCGGAGGGACAGCTAGACGGGAGCCTGGGGAGGCTGGTGCAGGTGAGGGAAGGATGGAGGTTTGGAAGGTGGGGGATCTCAGGTGCGTGCACTTGACCTTCTGTGGGGCTCTTCCCACCCATACCAGAGAGCCCCCTCACTGCAGGCCAGGATTTGGAGCCTGAGCTGCAGCCTGGGGATCCGGCTGCCCACTGCCTCCTCTCCCTGACCCTGGCGCTATCTTTGCCATCTCTCTGGTCATCTGTCTTCATCTCCGGTTTTGGTCTCTACCTCTGCCCCTCCCTGTTTCTCTGACTCTGTCCTCCTCTGTCCCTCTTTCCATCACTGTGTCTTTCTCTTTTCCCGCCTCAGCCTCTGATTCTAGTCTCTCTGTTCTTCTGCCTCTCTTCTAGGCATCAACCCTCAGCCCTTCTGTGTCTTGGCTGCCTCTGGCCCTGGCGTGTCCTAATCTCCCAGATCCCCTAGGTCCTCAATACTCAAAGTGTGGCCATAGATCAGCAACCTCAGAGCCTAAGAGTGCAAAATCTCACTCCCTTCCTTGACCTAAAGACTCTGAATCTGCCTTAGATCCCCAAGTCATTCACATGCATATTAAGTGTTTGAGAAGCATTGCCTTAAGCTTTCCTTTAAAACAACATCAAAGCAAAAATCAGAATCTTAGAACTTGGAATGATCCGAATCCTCCTGAATCTCCTGTGTCACCTTGGTGATACTCTAAGGCATTCAGCTTCTCTGCATCACCTCCTCGAGCCTCCTAAAGTTGCTCCTGAAGCTCTAGGCCACTAAGGAAGGGAACATAACGTGGGCTTCTGTGGGTCCTGAGCTTCCATGCCTGCAGAATTACTGGTGGGAGGGAAGTCTCCTGACACCAATGCGCTGGGTGCTTCCCAGTGGGACTCTAGTCCCTCCTTGAAAAGTTAGCCCACCTGGACCTGTCTCACCCCTGTCTGTCTCTTCTTATCCTTTCAAGACTAAGAATGGTTTTTTGAGCTGGTGGCAGGGTGTGGGTTTCACGATGGGGTTCAGTTACCTGCGCACAGCCCCAGAAGCAACACACCTGAGGCTGGAGACCGTAAAGATTGACCAGAAGTCACACTAGGTGAGTTTCAGAGTGAGCAGGTGCTGGAGAGAGGGAGTCCTGGCGAGATTCCTAACCCTACTCCCGGGTTTAGACAAACACAGCACCTGATTCGTATGTGGCTGTTATGTGCCCACGTTGTCATTTGGGAAGTGTTAGCTTTGCCTCTCGATGGGGTCTCGACGGGGTCGCAGATCTGTCCCGACTAAGACATTTCTGGCCACCTTAGCCAGTGCCAGCTCTGGTATGTTTCAGACCAAGTCTCTAGAGAATGGATTTGTTTTCCACTTCAGTATTTTGAGTGATGGAGTTGTTTTCTGGATTTGTTTTTTTAAGTGGTTTTTCCCCTCTCTGGTTTGTTTGGTTTGGTTTGGTTTAGAAGGAATGAGAGAGAATTTAGGAAAAAGGGTCAGCTTCCTGGGCCCCATTCAAGCCTTTGACCCAGGGCCAGTCACTGAGGTGATGCCTTTGTGCCCCAACTTCTCCAGCTGTGGTCCGGACCAGACTAAGTGGACAGCAGGTGAAAACCCCGGTGAAAGTGGTAAGGAAGGGGAAAAGCAACCAGAGAGTGCAAGTTCCATTTTGGAGGATTAAAGAGATTCACTGCAAAGGGGTTGGAGCACTGTCTGGCTAGTAAAAGTGAGCAGGAACAAAAGCCTTGTTCTAGGGGAGTAGAGGAGATCTAAAGATTAGATGCCCCCAGGGTTGCTGAGGCCGAGCATACCAGAGCTGGGTGCACCTGCTTTGGTGTGGTGTACCTCCTGGCTCTCCCAAGGGAAAGAACTGACATGGGGTGAAGAATAAACAGGTTTTGGCTGGAGGCTTGGTGGAGTCTCCTTCAGCATCACAGAGACCCTGGACGAGCAGCCGCGGATGGGGATGGTGGGAGAGCTACGAAACTGGGACCCCCTTTCTCTGGCCCCTTCAGCCTGCCAGGTCGGTGGTGAGAAGGATTAGAGACCCAGGCCAGTGGCTAGAGAAGGTGGCTTGGGTCCTACCCTAGAGCCTTCCAGAACTTAAGTAGGAAATTGCGAAACAGAGCTACATTTTGAAAGAGAAAGTATGTGAAATATGGCTCCTCCCTCGCCTGTTCGCTCTCCCGGAGCTTGGTGCAGGGAGGTGGGTGAGATGGATTCCTGGCTAGACTCAGGCGGGTGTGGGAAAGAGGGCAGAGCCAAGCCCCCAAGGGCCCCTCAGGCCAGGCCACACCAGCTGCCAGCCTTTGATTATTGATTATTGTGATTGGGATGTACTTTTACCATCTGTTGAGCATCAGCCTGGCCCATGGAGAAGGCCAGTTCCTTCCTCTGGCTAAAAAGGCTGGCTTCTGAGGGCTCCCTCTGCAACCCAATATGTACCATGGGCTGCTGATTAAATACTTGGAATGTCTTCAGGTCGAGCCAGGCCTATCCATAAAATGGGAGGCATTTTGGCAGTTCCAAGGCCCCTGGCACCCAGTCTTGGCACTAGCCCGGCTGTCTTCTTCAAGGAGCTGGGGTGGGCTTCCCGCCAGCATGCTTCCCTGGGAAACATCGAAGTGAGTTAAAGTCAACAATGAGTTCATCTCCAAAAGGAATAAGCCGGCAGCCTTCAGGGCAGGGGAACAGGAAGGGGGGCGGGGAGCAGGGATTGGGGGGCAGTGGAGGCGGTTAAGTGATGCTGGAACAGCCAGACCAGATCCAAGCCTGTCAAACAAGCTGGCAGCTCCAGGAACAAAGAAAAGTGCTTTCCCAGGCCAGCCCTGGAAAGCTCACTTGGCAAAGGTGGTCACAATAAGGATGTCACAATCCCAGGGACCATGGGAAGTGTCCTCTCAAGGACTGGGCGCTGCAACAAGACACCGACATGGAAAGAGGCTCGGGCGGTGGGGCTGGTGCATCCGTGAGCTCTGACTCTGCTGTTCCCCAGCCTGTCTTGCTGGCAGACGAGGATGGACACTGGGGCCGGTGAGCTCCACTGTCTCCTGCTGGAGGATGGATGCAGGAGGACCTAGGTGTGAAGGCCACACGAAGAGCCGGCTCACGATTGTTGGAACCTGGCATTTTAGTCTGAGCATCTCTGTTACTACATTTATTTATCTCCAAGGGCTTTGCATTTGGATAATGGTTCCCGAGCTGAGCCCGTGGCTCACTTCTGCGCTCTTGACCGCCAGGGGCATGAGGAATCCACACCCTTAATGGCATCAGGCTGCTCTGGGCTCACTGGATCCAAGGCGCTGTGGGCCTGGGGAGCCAATGGCAGAGCAAAGCCCAAAGTGAGCCGCACTCTGGGACTGGCCTGAAGCCAGGGCCACCTCCCTTTGGGCAACTGAGTGGCGTTAGGGCCTGCCAGGGCCACCTCAAGGGCTGGGCTCCCAATGGAGGGTGGGGAGCAGCGCCTCCTCGCTTGGGACACAAAAGCCTGATGCTGGCCCAGCAGCCGAGATACGATATGGAGAACCCATCCCGTTCAGCCCTCCTCGGATCCGCCCCTGGGGCTGGGAGCCTGGCAACAACTGCCTCGAATCTATACTTGGTTTTTCTCCCAGGGGCAGGACTGCTGCCGACAGACTGCGTTGGATTTCTCCCCTGCCCTCTCACTTGCTCTCACAAGGTACTTTATTGTACGAGGTATTTGCCTACCATGCATATTTATAATTCTTTCCCTGCCACCAAACCAACAAAATGTCCACAGACATTGCATCTCAATTTCTCACAAGCACATTCTCATCACATTCCCATGGCTTGCCCTTCTCCTAGTCCCCTCTTTAAAAAAGAAAAGAAAAGAAAAGAAAACACCAACCAAGCAACCTGCTTATCCTTCTGGTCCTAGTGATTGCTCTCCATGTTGGCCGAGTGGGTGTTTCCACTCTCCCAAGAGCTTCTTTGGGGTCCTTCCCAACTTTCCTTTTGATGTGCAGACACAGATTCTTCCCAGGCCATATTTCCTCTGCATTTTTGACCAATTGCTTTTGGCCTTTGTTACGACAGCCTAGATGTTCGTTGAATGAATGAAAAAAAGTGAATGAATGGAGAGGTCCCCCTTGAGTGGGTTTGTTGTCCTACTATCCCCGGAGAGCATAATTATTGATTGTGACTACTCTTTTTTTCCTTCTGGGAGGAAAAGTAAGGCCAGAATCAAAGTTCATTAGGGCCTGGAACCAAAAGCAACCTGACCTTGATCTTTTTGTCATTTGGCCGCCACCAGTGGGGACAACCCAGGTTGCCAGTCATCTCCAGCCACTCCCATCCCCCTTCCCATCTACTCATCTACTCAGAACTACTCAGTGGGGCCTGATACAAATGAAATTTCAGAGTTCGGTGACTTTGTCTGCACTGTTCCTTCTCCCTAAAATGTGCTTCCCCTGTGCTCTTATCTGTGGATCTTCTACTTTTATCTCCTACCCAGACGGAATCATTGTGTGAAGAAGCTCGCCATACGGCTATCTCCTCCCCTCTCTGTATTTCTAGGCCTGCGCACCTTTATCACACCCCCATGTCGATGTCCCCAGCCGTATGCCAGCTCCTGAGAGCAGGGACTGTGGGATTCATTGCTGCATTCCCTGCTCTTGCACGTCCCACCAAGGGGTGGGTAACCGTTGGAAGCAGACAAGTAATAACCATGGCAATCGTTTATACAGCCCTGACACTACTCTCAGCCCTTCACTTGTGCCGCCTCACTTAATCCTCAACCCAGCCCTGCGAGGTGAATCCTGCGATCATGCCCATTCTGCCGATGAGGACACCGAGACGCGACCTGGTGAAGGTATGTGACCAAGGGCACGCAGCTAATGAATGGTGGAGCCGGGACTGGAACTCAGGAAGTTCGGCTGCATTACCGCCCAGCGGTGTGAAAACTCACATTTTTGCACATGCTTTTCCTCACCTGCGGGCTGTGATTCCCAGCCCGTTCAGGTCTCACTTGTTTATTGGGAAGAGGAACGGGATCCAGGGGGTGGACCCCATGAGCTCACCAATAATGCCAGAGGGTCCTCACGGCCCTGCTGCCAGGCCCTGCCTCTCCCCTCCGCCCCTCCCCAGGGTCCATTGCTCGTGAAGCTGCTCAAGACTGCCTTCGTACCGCATGGCCGCCACCGTGGGGGCCGGTGTCGGGCCATGGGGACCGCCTCGGGACGCTCTGCTCCTACAGCCGCCCATGCTGACAGCAGCTCCTGAAGATTCCCATGCACCGGAACCACTTTGGGCCAAGCTGAGAGTCTCTTCTCTATCTGTGTTGTGCTTGGCCTCAAGGTCACCAAAGGTGGTCCCATAAAGACCCCGGACAAAGGGGCTCTTTGGATTTCTGGCTGAAGCTTCATTCTCTTTGGGGCCTAGAAAAAAAATCTCAGGGCTCTGCCCGGGGACCGATAGACCCGTGCTGAGCCACCCAGACCCCCCTTTCCCCTACACAAGGCTCCCTCTGCCCCCTCCCCAGGAAATTTAAACCTCTGTGGAGAGCCCCCTGCTAGTCCACTAATGTATCAGCTGCACTCAGGGGTACGGCCAACCTGCTCGTTTGAATCCCCCAGGCAGAAAAAAAAAAGCAAAAACAAAACTAAATGTCCCTCCGTATTGGGACAGACAGGGTCCACTCTCAGAGGGCAGTGGCAACTGACAGCCAGCTAGAGTCAGGTACATGCCTACTCAATGCACAGAACATACTCCAGAGCCCTAGCATGGGGTGTGGGCAAGCTTTTTCTGCAAAGAGCCACAGAGCTACTCATCTCTGTCATTGCAGTGCAAAAAAGCAGGTGTAGATCATGTGTAAACAAATGGTGGGGCTGTGTTCCAATAAAACTTTATGAGCACTGAAACTTGCATTTCATGTCATCTTCACGTGTCACAAAACATTATTATTATTTTTTAAGTAGGCTCCATACCCAGCGTGGAGCCCAACATGGGGCTTGAACTCGACCCTGAGAAGGAGATCTGAGCTGAGATCAAGGGTCAGATGCTTAACCCACTGAGCCACCCAGTTGCCCCAACAAAACAATATTCTTACTTTGATTCTTTCAACCATTTAAAAATGCAAAGGTCATTTCTAGCTTGCAGGCCATAGAAAAAAGGCAGCTGGTAGGATTTTGTGGGCAGCCTATAGTTTGCCTACACCTGCCCTTGGAGATGAGCTACTTGGTTTATGCCTGGTGCACCAGTGAGGTGGGATGGGATGGGGGGGTACACAGCACAAACCTGAGTCCCCACGTCCAGGCATCCTGGGGATTTGCCCAGCTCTGGTTGGAAGCAAAACGATCAACTCTAAAGTCTCTCAAAGAGACCTTTAAAGCATTTGGAAGATTCCTCCAACCTGGTTGCACACTGAGTCAGAAGGAGTGCTTTGCACCCCTCCCCCCCTCCGATAAGGGAGTGGCAGACTTGTCATTTTCTAATCAAGCCTCTAAAAAGTCACATAAATCAAGATTTTGATCTGTTCTTCCTCTGCTGCTTGAAAAGGTATTCATCCGAACTTTCCTCCACGCCTCAGCCTTCGTCTCTACTTTGGGAGGCAGATTTTGTTTCCAGTCTAGACTAGACCAAACAAGGGGGCAAGAAGGTTGCAGGAGGCCAAGGAAAACCTTAGCGTCTTGCTGGGCAGAAGCTGCCTCTAGGGCAAGAATGACCTTCTGACAGACAGAGGCCCTCTGACACGCTGGTTTCAGGAGTTGACTTTTCAGATTCTTTAATGTGACATTATTCTTCTGGAAACAATCGAAGGGACCTGGTTAACATTTTTAAAAGTGTTTTCCTAAGGAAAAGGGGGGAGGTAGGCAGGAGAAGAGGGGGTAAAGAATTACACACAGATTTAGTCTAATGGCTTAAAAATCAAAAGGATCATTGGACAGATAGATATCAAGTGTAATAGGAAACACACTGATCCTGGGGAGATGACTTAATATGGGCCCTTCAGTCTCTTTGGAGCTTAAACAATTACCCACGACTTGGAATTATACTTTAAATTCCCACATTGGTGTGTGTTCTGGATCCATTTTTCTGGATGCAGCCAGCAATCTCGAGTTATCTAAACTAGGCTGAAAATTAGAAGCCATTAATAGGCTCTCATAAAATTGCTTCTCAGATTTTCATAAGCAGAATCTGCTGAGGGCCACAGGGATTCAGTGATAGGAAGGAGCAAAATGCTGCTAGTTATTTTTCTGAAGCTTAATCTAGGGATCTTTTTGAAGAGCTCCTTGCCCAGCAAGAAGATGAATGCCAAGACCAATACAGACCATGTTTTTCCCACTTAGAAGTGGTGACCAGATACATCGCTCATGTGGAGAAGCTTCCTGAGGTTCCCAGAGGTGAGCCTCTCAGCCACTTTTCGTAGCCACTCAGCCCACCAGCTAGCTATACCCTTGTCCCCAAACTTCCCAGGCATCCTAGAATGAAAACGGTGCATCCCGGGCAATCTAGCCCACAAAACTCCAAGTTAACACACCTTATTTTTCTTGCATTCCCTTATGAACTGTTGAGGTTATATGACTGAGGACTCTGTCTTTTTGTTTTGTACAAATGACACAAAACAACAAAACCTTGAAAAATCTCTTTGGAGTGCTTCTCTGTTCTTCCAGGGTCCCAGAGCCTCTGCTTGGGGGCCAGTAAGCATTTCACATTGAGCAGCACTCAGCCAGGGGCCCGACTCTTGGCCCCAGCTGGCGGGGGTCAATTCATCATGGGCTTGCCGGAGGAGAGACACAAGAGATTGAATAGAGAAGCCTCCTCTCTCAGTTCAACTGGGAAGGATAAACCAACAAGCTGGCACTAATTAAGAGCTAATGGCCTTACAATGGAGCATTGCCAAAGGATAACGACCCTCAGGCTACAGCATAAATATCAAGACATTTGGGGCAGAGCCAAGACATATATTTTCTGAGTACATTAGACACTGTGGCAGCCTTCCTCACCCTGGCTCTGCAAGAAAAAAGAGGATTTAAGGTAGGTGGGGAAGGAGCAGGGTTGCACTAGGGCTGCCTTCCGGTCAGTTGGTCAGAAAGCCTCAGGGTGACTTTGGGGAAAGAAACTGCTTTTCAGATCTGTAACTTTTGAGTGTACCAGAATTACCTGAGGAGCTCATTAAAATGCATATCCTCCCCCCCACCTTCCCCCTCTAGAGGGTTTGATTTCAGTAGCTCTGGGGCAAAGCCCAGGAGTCTGCATTTGTAATCAGTTTCCCCATGTGGTTCTGATGCTGGTGGTCTTCAGACCACACTTTGAAAAATGCTACTGAGGAAGCTGCTGTTACTTGCCCATTAGATCCCAAAGAAAATGTTTTTACAGAACAAAGACGAACATGAGGTCAAGCAAGATTCTCCGCTTCCTGTGAAAACGGCAGCCCCATCTTTCCTATCAGAACTTGGCACAAGGCTGTCTGAGGCTGTCTCAGAAAGGTGGCATCTCCAGCCGGTTCCTGTTGCGATCTTCTCATTCAGACCAACCTGTGGTTATTGGGAGCAAGATTCTAGGAAAGGAGGATCTAACCATAGGTCTGGAGGGAAAAGAGCAAACAGCCCATCTGCATGGTGTGTAGCATGTCTGCGATGTTTTCATATACCGTAATTCATATGACCATACTGTAACCTTTCGGTGTAGTTAACTAAATACATCTGTTTAAAAGCTGAGGAATCACAGGCCTGGAGGTGCGTCTTGCCTCCTCTGGTCACCATGACATGAGGAAGGAGGGTGAAAAAAGGTCAATGTATTACAATTGCAGTGAGCAGGGCAGGCAAACCAAACCAACAACTTTGGCCTGACCTTCATAGATCAAACATATTATTGGCTGGTTGAACTGAGGTTGGTTGTTGGGATCGGCAAATACTTGTAAAAGGATTGATGGATCAGATTATAAAAATAGATGGAAAGTTCGTACGATAAACGCAGCTGAGTATGAGAACAGGAGAGAAACAACCCACCATATCATCTGGGAAAATGAAACTCCTTGGCAAGACTTCACAACAGCCTGATTCAAAATTTCATAATGAAATTATGTCTCTGATCAAAGCCTGAATGAGCTCATGGGCTGATTTTTGCCATTCGTGTTTATTCTGGTTCGAACCAAACTGAGGCATCAGAAACACATTATCCTAGGCTTTTCTCCAGGAGTGGGCTATTGCAGCCGCTTTGGGGGGCCGAAGGGACAGTGTGAGAAAGAGGGGGACCTCTTTGGATCCTCACTGGTCATGAAGTTGTTTCTGACTGGCTCTCAGAGACTCCCTTGGGACACCAGGTCTGGGTCAGGGCCTTTGTAGCAAAGTTGTGTTTAATCTCATGACACTTGTCCTTGGGGCAATAAAAGGGAATCTCAAGGAAGAGAAGGTCTTTCCTGCTGTTGTCCAGGATGCGACCTGCTTTTGCTCTTGAAAGAGTGTTTTTTGGTTGGTTTGTTTCAGACTCAGAAAATAAAGACTCGATCATCCTCCCCTCCCCAGCACCCTACAGAGTATTCACTTAATACCAAGTTGTTTGTTTTTAGGGACTGAGCTACACCACAGGTAGGAATCCACCTCCCTCCTGCCTAACCGCCTCTTCTCTGGCCTATCCTCAAGGCACAGTGATGGGCACTTCCTGATAACTCGAAGTGCGAAAAACAGAGGGAGGCCTTCTTGGTTGAAGCACATGCATCTAGAGATTTTCCATATTTTGTCTGTAGAAATAGCAATGGCTGGGTTTTTACCTTAGTCACCCTCAGGGCAAGAAGCATTCCCGTCTGCTATCGACTAAATGTTTGTGTTCCCCTAAAACTCACCCACTGAAGCTCTAATTTCCAATGTGATGCTGTGTGGCCTGTGGGAGGTAATTAGATTTAGATGAGGTCATGAGGGTGGAGCCCCTGTGATGGGATTAGTGCCCTTCTAAGAAGAGGAAGAGACCAGAGTCCTCCTTCTCTTTCCACCCTGTGAGGGAGGACATAGTGAGAAGACAGCTGTCTGCAAGCTGGGGAGAGAGTTCTAGGAATGCAACTATGCGGGCACTCTGACTTTGGACTTCCCAACCTCCAGAACTGTGACAAATAAATGTTTGTTGTTTAAGGCACTCAGTCCATGGTATTTTGTTACAACAGGCTGAGCTAAAAACACCATGTATTCATTCTTTCATTCCATGAATATTTATTGAGTCCCTACTGTGTGTCAAGTGCTATTCTAAGTCTTGGAGTTACAGCAGTGAACAAACTTACAAGGTCCCTGCTCTCAAAAAACTTACATTCTAGTTTTGGGGAAGCTCAGATAAACCTGTAAATAACATAATTTCATCTGGTGATAAATGTCATGAAATAAATAAAACGAATAAATGCAGAAGGGCAGGAGATGGCTGATTTGGAAAGATCAGCCAGGAAAGTCTTCTCCCAGTAGAAGGGATTGCCAGATAAAATCCCGGATGCCCAGTCAAATTTGAATTTCAGATAAACCATTACTTTTTTTTTTAGTAAAGTTATGTCCCAAATATTGCATGGGACATACTTACACTAAAAATTATTGTTTATCTGAAATTCAAATTTAACTGGGTATCCTGTATTTTTATTTGCGAAATCTTGCAACCCTACCAGTAGGTGACATCCCAGCCAAGAACAGAATGACCAGAGGGAACTAGCTATGCAAAGGTTCAAGGAAGAGTGACTCAGGCGGACGGATCCAGTGTAAATGTCAGAATAATCTGAGGGAGGGAGGTACAAGTGAGGACAGATAAATAGGCAGGGGTCAGATCCTGCAGAATTCTGTAGGGATGGCTAGGAGTTTTGAGTTTCTTTCTCTCTCTCTTTAAGTGTGATGATGCACGACCGGAGTTTTAAGAAGGGTGGCAAGGTCTGACTGAT